GGCATAGTATCAGGGATCGAAGTCCTGATAGCTTACTACTATATATATACCCTGTAACATTTTTAAGAAGGTTAGCTATATATAGAAGATAATAGATCTTATATAGATATTAAAGAAAGTATTAGTCTTTTTTAAACTCGCTTAGATTTACTATAATAGTTATTAAATTCAAGTTATTTATCTATATTAATATAGTAATATTTTAAATAAGATTATAATCTTACGCGATGGTTTGAGTAAGGGGAGATAACTTAAAACCTCTATTATCATTTAATAAGTAGATAGATTTAAATTAATTTTATAAATAAAGTATATTAAATCGTATTACTATATAAGATCGAGTTTATTATATTTATAACGTCTTTCTGAAATAAATAGTAATAAAATTTGACTTTTTAATATACATTATAGATGAAAAAATAATCGTATAATTATAAAATCTAGATATTTGATTATTTTATAGAACTATTTACTAAAAAGAAAATAAAAAAGATTAAAATAAGAAAAGTAAAAAGCAAAAGATATTCAAATATCTAAATATCTAAAAATCTGATTTTTTTTTTTAATTTCTTAAAAAAATAAAAGTAATAATAACAATAAAACATTTATAAAATATCAGCTTAAATTATTATTTAGATTTATAAGTTAATATCTCGTTTTAAATCGATTATACAATTATATAATAATACGATATTTATCGAAGATTAGCTATCTATACCAAAAATTTAAATTTTGTTACTCTTTATCTTAAAACGACTCTATAATATTAGCATTTAGATGATAATATTCCTATCTAAATGATCTAATTATTATATTCGAACGTTGTAAGCGAGATTCTGTGTCGCAGGGATGTTGTATTACGCTAATCCCTGATCGCAACTACCCCACAACAGCTCGAAGCTTCAAAATAATTTACACTTCGTAGGTGTGTATATACCTTCATTTCTCAACTTCTGTATTTCAATTTCTTCCCAACAACAACACAAACTTTACACTAGGCTTTTGTTATTTTCTTCTATTGATAGCCAAACCATCTCAAATCAACAATGCTGCCTTCAATTAGAGCAGTATCCCTGCTCAGCCTCCCTTCATCTTTGCGACCACTCCTCCTGTCACGGCTTTACGCAACACACACTGGCTTAGGTACCACAAGTTCCTCATCGCAACCAAAAAGAAAGGCTGTCACTACCTTCAACGATGATGGCAGAGTTCCTTGGCGCGACTTATCGCGGCGTGAAAAGGTTGCCAGAACAACGCAACAAACGTTTAATCTTGGTACTGTCCTCATCGGCACAGTATTGACGGTATGTAAATCGCAATGTTTTCACACATTTCACCACTGAAACTCAATACAGGGAGGCGTCATCTATCTTCTCTACACCGAAGTATTTGCGCCCGAGAGTAAAACCAACCAATTCATCAGGGCCGCCGATCAAGTCAAGAAGGATCCGCGATGTATAGAAATACTGGGCGATGGAAAGAAGATAAGAGCATATGGCGAGCCAACAGCGAGCAAATGGGCAAGGGCTGGGCCTATTGCGTATGTATCCTATACTACATATGTGCCCGAATTGTACTAACTTTCATTAAGATCCAACATTTCGAAGGATCGTAGAGGGGTGGAACATCTGGTTATGCATTTCAACGTCGAGGGTCCGCTCAATCAAGGTGTGGTGAACCTACATATGGTCAAGCGACCGTCTGAGAGTGAATTCGCATACAAGTACTTATTCTTGGACGTGAAAGGGCATCAAAGAATATACCTTGAGAACGCAAATTCAACAAATAATGGGCCGGGGAAAAGTAAATTCTTGGGGGTCACTTGGCGATGATGTAAACATCCGGTTCAAATTGGGACAGTGAGAACATTGTTGGGCCGGGATGAGGTGGTGTTTAACATTTACCATTTAAACAACTGGGAAAAACTGGAGGGATTATAAAGGGTTACTTAGCAATGATTTGAATATCCGTTTCAAACAGGGAGATTCAAACGTTCTTGGGCTGGAATGAGGTGCACTGGCGAGACTGGTTAATACCAATTCTGAATTCCTTCAAATTTATATGTTGGTCATCATCTAGAGCTTCAAGCTTGTAATACCCTGTCATTACCTAATCTATGCCTGTAATCTGACCTCACACCGCTTTACCAAATTAAGCTTAGTGGATTTGAACCTTAATTGATGTGCGAACGCCATGGCAATCTGGCCATCCCCTCGACCACAACAATAATTTGAATCCTATCACAAAAAGGGGTCTTTTATTTCTACACAACTCCAAAGACTTCCCGTCAGAGATAATAACATCTACACATATTAGAAGGCTATCAAACATGGCAGCTCTTGCTTCGAAGGCGCAATCCCAAAAGCTCTTCGAGAAGTTAAAGACAAAGCCAGCAAATCGGGTACGCAAGACAAACCTCCTCTGGACAAATGCATTCATGATGCATGTGCTGATATGCTTTCGCGCAATAGATTTGTTTTGATTGTGGGGCAAAGAATCCAACATGGACGTCTGTGCCTTTTGGAATCTACCTCTGCCTTGATTGTTCATCGAATCATCGCAACTTGGGTGTTCACATCTCCTTTGTGCGATCGACAAACCTTGATCGTACGTATAGGGCACGACCTTGGATAGGATCCGGGGCTAACATTGTGACCAGAATGGCAATGGGATCAACTTCGGGTTATGAAAGTTGGTGGTAATGAATCTGCCACGAAATACTTTCAATCAAATGGAGGTACTGCAGCACTCAATAGCAAGGACCCTAAAACTAAATACCAGTCGAACGCGGCCACGAAATATAAGGAAGAATTGAAGAGACGTGCTGCCAAGGATGCTGCAGAGTATGCCATTTTCTGCGGATGTTAAATGTCAATGCTGATTGATGTACAGATACCCCAACGAAGTCGTGATTACCGATGCGGCGACTGATGCCGCTGACGGAACTTCTACACCTGCCGGCGAACCTGATGATGACTTCTTTTCTTCCTGGGATAAGCCTTCGATCAAGCGACCAACACCCCCAATTTCTCGAACTGCCACACCACCTGTTGTTGGACGAACCCCTTCCCCATTCCTCAATGCCGGTGCCAATGCCGGTGCCAATGCCGCTGGTAACGGAATCGCAAGAGCAACATCACCACTAGGAAAAACAGAAGGGGCAGCTGCAGCGCCTACGGCTAGCCGTATCACATCGTCTGCTGCGTTGCGGAAAAGCGCTACAACAGGGACCGGACCAAGAAAAGCAAATGTCCTCGGCGCCAAGAAAACCAAGCTGGGTGCTAAGAAGGTTACTGGAGATGTAATTGATTTTGATGCCGCCGAGCGGAAGGCAAAGGAAGAAGCCGAGAGAATTGAGAAATTAGGCTATGATCCTGAGGCCGAAGAAGCTGCGACAAAGAAGTCAACCGCCAAGGCAGCTGATCTTTCGAGCATTGCCGCACCAACACCTGTGAGCCCAGGAAGGGCAGGGTACGGTTCTGGCCACAGCAGAGAACGGTCAAATGGTGAGGTTGAAAGACTCGGAATGGGAATGGGAAGACTTGGATTTGGACAGATTGGAGGCTCAAAACCTGCAGCTACTGCACAGAAGAAGATGGGCGGTTTTGGCTCAGTTGGGCCTATCAAGGCCACAAAAGAAGGTAAGAGATTACATTCGAAAATTCACAACCTCCTAAACCTCAGAGCTAACATCTCTACAGATGATGATGAGAAATACGCTCGTCAAAAGTTCGGCAGCCAAAAAGGCATCTCGTCCGATGAGTTTTTCGGCAAGGGGTCATTTGATCCGAGCGCACAATCAGAAGCCAAAACTCGCCTACAAGGTTTTGAAGGTGCCACATCTATCTCATCTAACGCTTATTTCGGAAGACCTGAAGAAGAAGAGGGCGGAGAAGATTACGGAGATCTCGAGACCGCTGCAAAGGACTTTGTCAGAAAATTTGGTGTCACAGCTGGGGATGATTTGGATAACTTAACACAAGTCCTTGGGGAGGGTGCAAGCAAACTGCAAGGTGCCATCAGAAGCTATTTGAACGGCTGAATAAAGGTGATGGGTGATACACAGGAGTTTGGCGTTTGTACGAGCAGTATGTGAAACTGTGATGGCAAGATTGAGAAGTGAGAACTGTGGAAAACAGACTCGAAGATCGCAGAGGGCATAAAAGGCTTGTTCTCGTAGCAATCGGTGAGGATAATTCATTTCTTCTCTTATGTACTACTTTGGTCCTACAATTTAGATGAAATTACTTCTGTGTAACTATTGTAGATTTCCGATACTAATTGGACTTGGATGAAGGTGTAATGATCATCTGTGTTTTGAAAGATATCGCTTGTTTCTTCGTGATAGATTCCTTTTCTATGAATCTGGCCAATGTTACCCGACAAACAGATTCAGTATCTTGGACTATTGGAATCTCTAACAATGGAAGCACAAACTCGCTAGTTCCCTTAGCTAAGCAATGGAGCACAACTGGGGGAGCTATCTGAAAAGCATGCCGAAAGTTCGGATTCAAAAGTTTCCGAAAATTGCAGGACCAGACAGTATTCTCCATGAAGTCGAAGACATAGTCACTAATTACCTAGGCGGTATCAAAGTCTAAATCATTGGCATGAGTTGAAGGGGGATTATTGCTTATAGTGCAGAATCTGTTGTGCCGGCAGCGAGGGGTTTTGAAAACTCGAAAATCGGAAGTTTGAGCTGCAATGAGTGTGATGGATTCCCATACTTATTGATGTTCAATTTCCAAACAATTCTCATAAAAAATGACACGATTTGCCGCACATGATAATCTGTGAGTGTGTATCTCTTCCGGCCTCTCCACAATAATCGAGACAAGTAAATAAGACTGGTAGCACCCACCCTAAGTAGTATTAAGATATGATTGTATCTGTCGACGTAGTAACACTACCAGGGAAAATGTCAGATTTTCCTACAGTACAGTCGCTAGACTTTTTCACCATGGCTTTTTGTTTCAGCTCCAATATACCGTGTTTTCTAACTATCCACCACCACCTCTGCTGATACTTGACACGGTCGTCTTAGTACTACTAGTGGTCCATCTTCTACCCGTTGCCGCCCCTGTCTCTGTTATCTTTCCCGGGATTTGTTCTCCGATTTTAGTACGACTCAGATCTGCCTCAATCGTAGCAGTTCCGGTTCTTCTAGAAAGAGCGTTATTAGCTACGCCAGGGTACCCTTCTGGTCCTCCGGGTTCTCCAGTTGTGGCAGTCGATGTAGCAGGACCTGGTGAATTCCATAGGCTTTGTCCGGGTACATACCAGGTGCTACCGCTGATGATTTGGGGGATGGTAGGCGAATATGCGGCGATGGAGATACCGATTGTCGAATAGATGATGGTGGTTTCGATTCGTTCGATAATAGGGGTGGGGCAAGCGATGAATGTTACTTCGTCGGTGATGCTGATGGTTGGGGTACTAGTGCTCAGAGCGGAACGTGAGCTGGTGAACTGGGAGGGATCAATGGCGGGGGAGTGGAGCAAAATGAAAGAGAGAGTTAGAGGTGGGAGATGGTTGATCTGAAATTGTACGAATGGGGGAGGTTCTTATTGGGGAGCTGAATGAGGAGCCGGTGGCTGTGGATTTGGTGATGGTCCTTGTCAGAACCAGTGGAAAAAGCAGGGTTGATGGACACCAGATGGCCTCCTTTGCACAGCTGTAGATGGTGTAAGTACTTGTAGAATTAACAGTGATGGTTGGAAGATCATCTGAAATAGATGTGGAATCATCATGCTCCTTGCTCTCGATGGATACGATGATGGTATGGTCGGCAGTAGCTATCGGGAATGGCGCCCCACTTGTGATAGTAGAATCAGAGGAACTGGATATCTTGATCGCAGCGACAGGAGATGGTTCGGTCTTATTGCCATATGTTTGAGCGGGGCGGGTATGCGAGATGGAGCCACTGGTTGAATTTGGAAATAGTACCATTGAAGTTCCTGAGCTCGCTCCGCTGTGTGTACCTGTCGCTTCGGCCGAGACATCGGAACCATATAAACTCCCCCTTGTAATTGTAGAATTGCTCGAATTTGTGGGGAAAGGTACTGTTCTGCTTCTCGACTCTTCAGCAGAGGAAGAAGATGTTGTAGAATTGGTTAAGGATGATGGGATAGTCGTGGAAGGGATCTCGTATGTACTCTTACTCAACGTTGTCTCAAGTTCTGGTGTTGGAGTAATAGGATTGCTTGTTGTCGAAGATGCAAGACCATTCTGAATTAATGAAGTGGTACTGACAAAGCACGTTGAAGGCAACGGCGCAACGTACAGAGTTGATACCAAGATAGGCCCAGCTGCCCATGTTAAAAAGTCGATTGTCTTTGCTGCTTCGGCATAGACAGCAACATCGATTATGAAATTCTCGGTAAAATTAAGGGTGCATGGTTGGTCTGACTGGTAAGTAATGCAAGCCTTGTATAGAGGAGCGTCTATGTATGCGCCTGCCTCGAATTTGAACCCGAATTTGAAGACTTCTACAGAGGTACCCGCCTTTAGTTTGAATCTGAGAGCTACACTGAAGCATCCAGCTCCGGACTTGAATTTTGCCGGCATGGATTTCGCTTTGATTCCTTTCCTGTGTTTTGTTGGTTTTGACGAGAAAGATATTCATGAAGGTTTGATAGAAATGGGTTTTACATACAGGTTCTCCTCTACAAGCTCTCCACTCAGTGAGTTCAGGATGATGAAAGTATCATCTGGAAATTCTGCTTCAAACCCAGTAATAACGTCCACCGGCGCAGTGACTGTAAACACCAATTCAATCTCAAATATCAATCCAATAGAGTCTTTGTCATTAAGCTAAACCACATTAATACGTCAACAAGAAAGGTGTGAGCATGAATATGGGGTTCCACTCACCTGAATACCGAGAAGACTTTCTGATGTGAATATAGGAACGGTGTAAGTTCCTGCCACGGCGAACGAAATATCTATCTCGAAATGTCCAGTGACCCCTAGAAAACCGAGTCTTAGGTTCAGATCGAGTGCGTCGACGATGATTTCCGTGGGGGTTTTCAGAAAATGTAGAAAGTCTCCTAAGATGGAATCATCCGTTTCCACTCCGGTAGTCGTAACGATTGCATTGCCGGTGGTGAAACATTCCACGCAAATTGCCTTGATGGATCCTGTTACTTTTCCTCCCTCACCAGGTGTGGCTTTTACTGCACTGAGAAACTTGAGATCAGCAGGAGCTTGCATATTGAGATTTCATAACAGTGACTTACACCTGGAACATGACAGAATTGGGTGGTAGATGAATGGCTAGGGGAAAAGATCCAAGATCTAATGCCGACCGTCTTTCTTCTGGGAAGATACGATTTCTACAATGGCGCCTCGTACTTGAGACTTTGAGTAGTCATCTTCTCCGTCATATATCTTGTGTGGTACATTATCCGCAGGGACAGCAGAAGACATGACAGGAAGAGCCAAGCTGAGCACTAAACTCGAGAGAATCGCCCACTTCATGATGGCAAATGTGAGGCTCGAATCTAGTTCAAGTGACGAAGGATGCTTGGTGTTCAATGTAAGATTTTGGTGTAAAAACGAATGTAACTTGGAAGGACCACGTGTAACGATACAACATATATGCAAAGTCGCAGCAGGACAAGAAAGTATTATAAGGGTGGTCAATCGAGAGTGAACCATTCCTTTCCATGCCGTGCACGAGTAGCTCGAGCATTCAAGCGAGCACGAAGATACCCCGCATGGTAATTTCCCCTTCTGAGATATTGAAATTGGAGGTAATTTACATAGTGTTCAATTTCAGCATCCGTGAATTCACTCATGTCAATATCTGCGGGGTCACTGTGGTTGATACTAGTGGACAATAGGCATCTCTCAATGGCGGGCTGGATAGTGAGTTGTGAACGGTCTTCCGCCGAAAAAGCATGACAAGTAAGTACACGGTGAATGCAATCAAAGTAAGACTACAAGCAGTACCGTCAAACCTCAATTCGCATGGTATATATACCTCGCAAGACCAGTCCTTCATTCAATCATTGAGATAGCTTCGTGAGTCTATCAACTGGAAGAGACATATCTTAGAGATTAAACTTGAGAATGTTGTTAAGCTCTGAGATATATGATGGGTGTGGTGGGGGCTAAACCTACGAGATGTCATTTTGGAAGTTCGAGAATAGTGATCAAGCGAGAAATAAAGGGGGCATTTAATATTGATAAAATTTTAGACGATTCGGAACCAGGAGATAAATCATACCCGTGTTGCATTAAACTTGGAGGCTAAATTCTGGGATTCTAGAAATAAGGAAGCATGTGTGGAAATATTGAAAATAGATTACTCATGGAATTGATGTCTTGAACGATACCAAAAACACAGTAGAGGTGTTCGTAGATTCGAATTGTTGAATGAGCTTCAAGTCCCAATATACAAAGTGAACTCGACGACCCAAAATATTTGAATGTCTCAACTATATGTATAATTGGATGCATACGAGTGTCGAGCTGTACTTTGGATAATTGATAACTCTGAATTTGGCTGGAGATGATAGCAGTATGCTTGGATTTCACAGATAATTGTGGTGGACCGAGCTACATCTAAAGAGCTAATTCATCTTCGCTATCTCCCTGGGGCGGTGCTAATACATCCTCGCTCCCCTGCCATTGAGGAGGCATCGGTGGTAACTCTTCATCTTCTTCCGCCCATCCATAATCCTCATCATCTTCACTATCCGGAATCTCGAACTCGGCTCTTTTACGTCCTTGAGTAGGGAGAGCGACGGCGGGTGGAGGTCTAGGTAGTAAAGGAGATCCTTGACTAGGTGTAATGGAGGAGATACCCACTTTTCCAATGACAAAAGCAGCAAACATTCCTCTTCCATCAGATAAAGTCGTACCGTCCACTTTAATGACTTGTGCAAACCGTACACCATCTACTTTATTTCCTTCATCATCGTCCCACCCCCAATCTCTAAATAAAGCCACTCGACACCCAAGGCCTTGTTCCCATGCAGTAGCTGAGATTGATGGTATCAAGGCTGCCCCGAGGCCGGGTCGCATTTTGGTTACGCATTGAGTGAGGATTATTATGGCGATATTACGGGTGGTAGCAAGTTTTTGGAGAGCATTAATGAGGTATTGGAGGAGGGGAAACTTGCGCGAGGAGGGGTTGGGAACTATTGAGGTTAGTCTAGTGATAGAAGGCAACATGAGAAGATGAGATGGATGTAGCTGGGAGACATGTGATGATGTGAACATTTTTGGATTGTAACATACCTCCTGGTTTCTTGGGAGTCGATGTAGAGTCAGCATTCCGGGGAAACGCACTGTCGATTAAAGTAGAAAATGAATCAATGACGATCAGACTAGTATTTTCAGGGGGAAAGTTTTGTGTGGTGTGAGTAAGTAAGGCAAGAAGATGAGATAGAGTGGGCGTTGTGAAATGATTGAAGTTGCTTAGAAGGGTGTCGTTATTGAGAGGTTCTGAAGATGGAAGTTTTTGTAGAATTTGACTGAACCTAGGACCAGATATTGGATGCGACGCGTCTGGGAGTGTTAGTAGAGTACATTCTGGGGATCACTGGTACTAAAAGTGGCATACATGGTAGCGATTATAAATAATCGAGATCTGTCTGAAGTGGAAATCTAGCAAGGGAATCGGAATGCAAGATGATGGACAAATAGCAAATGCTTATAAAAGGAATATCAAATAGATGAAAGATGACTTGCCTACCCAAACAACTTGTTCCTTCTGATGTAGAACTCTGGCTGCCAAATGCATGCTATATGTAATTAGCATACATGGTCATTCATACGGACACTTGAGAGTGTGCTCCATTACCCCAGAGTAGTTTTGCCAACGCCGGGTGGACCATAAATTTCCGTCACTTTTCCTCTTGGAATGCCTCCATAATTTTGATCCGCACTTGTGGATACTTGCAATGGGTCTGTGATTTGGAGAGCTAAATCCAAATTCGCCAAACCGGTGGGAATGCAACGCGTTGGCGATGATTCTAAATCTTGCAAGGCTTGGGCGGCGGAAACGGTAGGCATACGATCTTGGAATGTGTCAGCCTATCACTTGTGTTGTGTTGTGGCGTAAGGATTTGTGATGAAATGAGCATTTACGTGGGGAAGACGAAGAGAAATTTGATCTTCCAGGGCCATGTATGGATTGATAATCCATTGCTGCTTGCTGTTGCATGGGAGGAGTAGAATCCTGTAGGATGAGAGATGATGAGACGAGACAAAGTGGTTATGGTTATGGTTATGGTGATGAAGGGAAAACGAAGTTATTCGCGTCTTGATGTTGCATTGTTCTGTGGCTTGAGATTCGATTGAAATTGGTGGAGAAGGTTACCTGGGAAGGGAATGGTGGGAGGGTGGTCGGTGAACTGTGCTCGTGAGGTTGAAAGCACGTGACAGTGACATTCTAAAAATAAGTCGTCAGGATAGATGCGATGAAATTATCTGCACTGACGATCCACCACCACGTATGTATTATGACATTCCCATCCCCAGATCTCTAGATCCAAAAGCTTAATTGGAGAACAATCTTGGACAATCTTGGACAATCTTGGACATTCTTGGACATTCACTATCATCCATCATTGGTCTGCGGGATTGAATATTTCAAATTCGTATCTTTCTTCCCCGTCCATTGATTATCGTCCCTCGCCAACAACATGCCGGTGTTTGTTTTGGTATCGCCCTTTCTAAACACCTCAATCACGTGCACATCTTTATTTCATTCTCTCCACCAGGGACCCTCATACCTACCTAGGACCTAGATAGTCTTTGCCATTGCCATGATTCATTCTTGGAAGCGACAGGTTATAAGGTTAAGGAGTGGAATCAATCTCTTCCTTTATCAACGGAGGATTACTCGGGTCGTATCACTTGAAAATCCTACCTAGGTACCTTCCTTCCTTCATCACCAATTCCTTTGGTCGGGTGGGCAAGCATCTGGGTAAGTATCAAATAATAATCGGGAGGCTATGCATGCTGGCAGGTATTTCAAGGTGAATAAGTAGTATTCAATGGCCTATTATTCAACCCATCCTTCCAATTTGTTCTGACTTCTCTTCATTTTTCTTGTCCTTTCCTTTCCTTTTCTTTCCCTTCCCTTCCCTTCCTCTTCCTCTTCTTTCCTTTTTTCGAGGTACCTACTCACATCCTCCTCCAAATTTGATTTGTTTTGATTTGTTTCGTTTCGTTCCATTCACGTCAGCTGATCTTCACTCATTTGGACTCGGACTAAACTTCCAACCAATATCATCGTCATATCCAACATTCACTTCCAACCCCATTCACCGATCGCGGTTCGCTTCGCATCAGATCATCTTAGCTTCGAAACATTTCCCACGTTTGATTGGTCGATCACTTACCCTCAATTCACACCAACAATCACCCTAGCACGTGCCAAGGTCATCTTTCGAAACAGCCGCCCCCATATTCTTCACAAGGCCCAATTGGGAAAGATCGGACGAACCTTGGAACCCCTCGATGATACTTTATATTTTCCACGCAAATAATTCTTTTCGAGAAACATCTTTCTTTCCAATCTCCACACAATCCTTTTTGATATCATCTTCAACAAATACATTCACTCCCCCATATTTTGTCCTTCTTTTGACTTTGAATGATTCATTCTTTGGCATTGCATAATATCTTGGAAACTAGGTCCCAAGAGTTAAGGTTCTTCCAAACTATTTATTCAGTACCCGTACTTAGCTAGCTACTTACTAAATAAGTCGGAACAACTTTTTTCTTGATCTTTCGACAGCTTGATCTTGATCCTCATTTTTTTTCTCTCTCTCTCTTTCTCTCTCTCTCTCTTTACTTCACAATCAACAATATGTTTCCCAAAAGTTTCTCAAGGAGCCTTCTCCTGGCATTTTCTGTTTCTCAATCCGTATCTGGTCTCAAACTCGATACCTCTGATCCAAGTACGTAATTCTTTTTCATCGTTGACTCTACAAAACTTACAGCCCCTACTGACAATCGTGTGTACAGCTTCAATCAAAAATGTAGCAGGCACCATTGCATATGGCCTCATGAAATATTATACCGGCAATGTCACCAATACACCAGATACCATTGCGGTATTGCCAGCGCCCTACTACTGGTGGGAGGCTGGTGCCATGTGGGGAACCATGCTCGATTACTATCACTATACTGGGGATGCTACCTACAATGATATCACAACACAAGCTTTGGCATCCCAAGCTGGCCCGCTCTTCGATTACATGATGCCAAACCACCAAAAGGATGAAGGAAATGACGACCAAGCTTTTTGGGGAATGTCTACCATGTCTGCTGCAGAAAAGAATTTCCCGGAGCCCTCCAACACGGGCGGATTTACGTGGGTAGAATTGACCGAGAATCTGTGGAATACCCAAGCTGCTCGCTGGGATACCTCGGCTTGTGGTGGTGGATTGAAATGGCAGATTTTCTCATTCAATAATGGATATACATATAAAAACTCGGTTTCTAATGGAGCTTTCTTTCAACTTTCGGCACGCCTTGCGCGCTATACCGGAAACCAAACATACGTCGATTGGGCAGAAAAGGTTTATGATTGGACTACCAAGATTGGATTTATTGATTCAAATTTCAACACTTTCGACGGTGCCGATGAATCCAAAGCTTGTACCAATCCGAATAAAATTACCTGGAGTTACAACAATGCCCTTTTCCTGTACGGAGCCGCTGTCATGTACAACTACACCACCAGTTCCACTTGGCAAACACGAACCGAGGGTTTGTTAAAAGCCTCGTCCAATTTCTTCACATCCGATAGTGTCATGTACGAACAAGCATGCGAAGAAGTAGCAACCTGCAACAATGATCAATTTTCCTTCAAGGCGTATCTCGCACGGTTCATGTGGGCAACTACTCAAATGGCACCTTTTACAAAAGCCACTATCACGTCATATCTCACCAAATCAGCATCTGCAGCAGCTAGTATTTGCGCTGGTGATGCTAATGCTTGTGGTACAAAATGGTATACGGGATCGAATGATGCAATCTTCGGCCCTGGACAACAGATGAGTGCTCTGGAAGTCATTCAAGGATTACTTGTCTCTTCCGCCGCGCCACCAATCGTCAAAGGCCAAGCATTTGTTCAATCAACTTCTTCTCCTTCGCCAGCTTCTTCCTCTTCGCCAGCCTCTTCAGCCTCTTCGTCTTCTTCATCCGCCGTCATTAGCACTAGCAGCAAATCCAGTGTTTCAAGTCGCAGTAGTGTGAAAGCAACCACTAGTGCTACCAGCGCCGCAACAACTGATCCATCCACAGACGTAATCGTGACCGATACCATCCTGGAAAGTACCACAGTTCCATGCTCGACTAGTTCTTCTTCTACGGTATACTCTTCCCCCGAAGTTCCCTCTTTCACCGCACAGCCTTCTACACTTACTTCGGAAGAAGTAAAATCTTCCACTGCAGTCCCTTCGTCTACTTTGAAGTCATCTTCTCCTATCACTTCTTCTAAACCAAAGACTTCGACTTTTGCTGTTACAACCCCTGCGCCTGTTCTTGATACCACAACTACAGTCAGTATTCTCCACAGCACCACTGTATCTTGCAACACATCGGTATATGCCAACTCTACTGCTTGGTTTGCATCATCCTCGTTTTTGTCCAGTCGTCTTACAATTGCTTCATCGGCCCCTGTTCCTGTTACATCTGCTCTGCCTGCGTCTTCTAAATCTTCAACCGCCTTACTGATTGATACTACTACACAGCGAGCGCCTACCATTTCGGGTACCGGTTCGAAAGGAACTATGAGCTTATCAACAACAGCTTCAGCCTCGGCGACCAAGGCCACAGTCACGGCGGCTGCTGGAAGAAATATGGACGTTTCGGGATCGGGCTTACTGGCCGGTGTGCTTGGCTTGGGGCTTTTATGGGCTGTTTAGGAATAGTTTAAGAGGGTCGGGATGGTGGCACGGTATGTAATATAGAATAGGGGAGTTGGGTGTACAAAGGGTATATGATTGGATTGGAACGGGATTGTCAAAAGCTGTTTCTACTTTCTGTTTGACAGGCTTATCTACGGCCAGATTGTCCAGTTGAGCTTGAGGCATTGATCTGGTGGAGTTTTTGGTCAAAATCATACTGGTGTTTATTTTGTGGTGGATACATACATGGATGGATGAATAAATTGGAGAAGATAAAAATGATTATAATCTGGGGTAGACTAAAAAAGCTTCTGGGAAGATTTGTAAAATAGATACCCTGGATCGATAGATATCACAGATATAAAGGGAGGAACTAATTTCATTTCAAATTGCTTGTAATCTACAATGTGTGGCATATATTGACCTTTTTTGCTATGAATTTCGCCCTGCATCCTTCAAAACTCACCCACAAATTAAATTTACCTTTTGTAAGGTTAGATTAACATTCATCGCATTAAGATCAGATTTTGACATCTTAATCAGGAGCGAGCTGATAATCATTCCAAGGTTTCCTCATCTTCTTGAGACTCGCACTATAGACATCCATGAATAACATATCTGTATCAGTACAAAACTAAACCCCCGATAAATCTATCGGGATAGAGTAATCATTTCAGAAACTCAAAGGCCAATTTTGGGTATAGCTTTTATACTTGAAAAGCAATTTGAGAAAGAGTTCTTAAAATCTTCAGACTTTGAAGTCTATGATGATTGTATAAGATTAGATTATGTATTTGTTGGTTTGAGAGAGATACGGAAGACGTGGTTCCCACTATGTGTAGGCCCCTAAATGTCTATTTGTATTCAATCTAAGGAGCTAGCTAAATGAGGGGAATAGTAGGCCTTATATAGGCACTACTGAAAGAGCTAGTCTCCTTCGCTTTCGCCTAATAACCTTAATACAGTTGTCTTTGTATTGAAGTGAATCCTTTGAAGTGAATTCCTTTGTGTGAATTCCCTTGTCCATACAGTATTATTTTATTAAGATCTTATATTAATGTACGTATAGATTGGTTTATTATAAAGAGTTGCTATACTCTGCGAAAAAGGCGATGATTAACTAGTATATAGATAAAGAATGGCTGACTGATATCTGTATTGTTATTCGTACTGAGGCCGATTTGAATCATTTAGTCAAAACCCCAAAAATAGATTTTAGCCTAATGAAAAAAGAAATTTTAGAATCTGTATAGTATATTTATAGAAATATTATAAAAACAAATAGAATTCAATTTTATTAAGATTTTTTATAAAAGAAATTAGATTATCGAATAGCTTTTAGAGCTAGCTTTATTTATATGTTTTTAGAATTCATTTTGAAATTTTCTATAAAAAACATATTAATATTTAAAATCTATTTTCAAACAGTTTTCCTTATAGTATATAAACTGTTTTAGAATAAGCAAAATAAGTAAATAGGTTTAATAAGAATTCCTTATTTCAAATTTTATAATAATTCTTTATTTTAAGCTTATTTTATTTAAATTATATAACTAATATAACTTTAGTCAGAGTTTATAATATTAAAAAGGAATTTCAATTCAGAGTATAATTTTAAAAGAATTTGTAAAAAGAAAAAAAAGTAATGAAATTATTAATCAGAGTTCAAGAAATCAATTTATATAATTACTTTTAAATTATTTCAAAAATTGAAATTTATATTTAATATAATATAATTTTAATCAATAAATTCATAAATTATGAACACCTCAAATATTAGGATTAATAATTTATTAGATCTCTAATGAGTTGATGATTAATCAAACCTTGAATGATATTGTTAATATTAAAAAAACATTCAATTCAGTATACAATCTTAAAAAAATAAAAAATAAAAAAAGAAGTTCAACTATTAATTAAAACTTAAGGAATTAATTGATATATTTTTTTTAAATTATCTCAAAAATTGAAATTTATATTCAATTTAAAAGTATTCTAATAAATTTAAATTGTAATCAACTTTCAGAATTAAATCTTTTATTCTTTAAATACTTTTTGTTAGGGTTGATCCACTTTACCACTAACCTACAAAAGTGTAAAGTATTCCGAATACATTCGGAACAATGGATCTACTATATATATCTTATCAGGTAATCGCTCCCTGACACTCACCCCTGTCTTGTACGAATCCACCCGATATATACTAATCAGGAAAGAGTAAGTTAGTATTTCTATAAATATAAATCTATAAATATAAAAACTAGAAATATAATAACTATAATTAAATCAATCATCAAGATTGAATTCAAAGTATAATTATTCTTATTCAGATTCACCGAATAAAAAGTTCAGAATAAAATACCTTTATATTCGGAATACAATATTAGAATTGATCCACTTTACCACTAACCTATAAAAGTATAAAGTATTCTAAATATATTCGAAATAATAGATCTACTATATATACCCTGTCAGGTGGTCGCTCCCTGATACTTTTAAATTGAATATAAATTTCAATTTTTGAAATAATTTAAGAAGAAATATATCAATCAATTCCTTGAATTTTAATTAATAAGAAAATCTCTTTTCTTTTTATTTTATTAATTCTTTTAAGATTATATACTGAATTGAATACTTTTTTTAATCTAAAAGTACATCACTAAATTCTAAATACATTTTTAGCTTAAACGAAAATCTATTTTTGGGGTTTTGACCAAATGATTCAAATCGGCCTCAGTATACGATAGAGCTCTGGTGCTTGGGAGGGGGAGGGGGAATGAGAATGAGAAGTAGAGTGAGAGTGTAGACACGAAGAGGAATCCCCTGGTGCTTCGCCCCCCCTCCCTCCCCCTCGAAGTACGTCTCAGTATCAAAGAGCTCATTTCTGAATTGAATACAACATTTTTACTACATTGCTATTATTGAGTGTAGTAAAGAAAATCGATACCGTACCGTACAGGATAACTCCGTTCAAATCTCGGTATATTGTTCATCTCGCAGTCTTTAAAAAAATCCTTAGCGAGAAAGCGGTTGGATATCCAGGTTTGATTATTCCAAAAGGGATTAGTCATTTGGAATTCTTCTTGGACTCTTACTATTTTTTTTTTTTTTTTTTTTTTTTAAATATATTGGGAGATGTTGTATTAGCTGATGCCATGTCTGCTTTCTTTTCTCCTGTGCCGTGCCATCTGGAGTGCGTTGAGGTGTGTCGCCATGTAAATGATGATGCAATATTCAAATGTGGAATGAGATCCCAGGTGCTCATTGCTGGTAGATAGATGGTGTGATGTCTGTTCCAATAACTCAGTCAATTCAGATCATGAAATTATCGATTCAGCTCTGCTTTCGAACGATGAGAAAAAAAAAAGAAAAACTTTGAGCTCGATTTGGAAGATCTCGATGTCTGTTTCGGAATCGGATGTTCAAAAGCTTGTGTAATTATTTCGAGGAATTTTGCAAAGGAGAAGTGCACTCTTCCACGAATGATCCGACGTGTTTCAAAGTCAGTCTGGGTTAAAGGTTAAGAATGCGGGAGATTGTGCGTGTAGCGCATGACTTTTCCTAAAGTATGACTGAAGGTCTTGGGGGGTAATCTGAAGTGTTTCAATGTTTCTGTCGGATTTGGTGCTGTTTTTTGGATATTAGAGATTGCTTCACCCTGTTAATCTCAGGTAGCGTACTCTTGGGTATGTCTGATTGAAATCATGTAGAGGTAAAAGATGTAAGATGACATATCTAGTACATATATGTTTGCGATAATAGTGGGCTAATTGAAAGTTAATAAGCTATGATAATTCATAGTTATTATACTAAATTTAAATCTGTTTATATGAAATTTTTAATCTTTATAAAATTCTAAGTTGAGAGATTCTTCTTTAGTTTAAATAATAGTTTATATATTAGATGAGAGTTGAATAGATTAGTTGAATAATTACTGACATCTTTTATATATTTTAATTTTTTTCTTTTCTAATTGATTAATAATTAGAAAAGTTTTTGTATAGACAAGAGGCTAAATACGTATTAAAGAGAATGAAAAACTTGATTGTATTCTATAAAAGGTTCAAGCTATTTAAGATTCTAGAAAGCTAATAAAAACTATACTAGAAAGGGTTGTAGTTTTCACTCTGACATTTAGTCCATCCTGAAAAGGACTATATGTTTTTATATAGAAAATTGAGTTATCCCTTGAAATTTAAGGATAATTGCTTTAAAAATGGAACTAGCTTTCAAGTTAAGAATTGTAATATATTATCTACTCTTTAATTTCCTAATACATTAAGATCTGAATTGTTTTTTCTATTCTATTATATTGTATACGATATTTTTATCGAAATTGAATTATATATAATGTATAATCGAAGAACTTCAAGGGTAGGTATAGAAAAAAGTAATTTATTTAAATTTGAAAAAAAATATTAAAATGATCTAGATATTCTATATTATATAATAAAGTCTTTAGCTAATATTGAATCGTTATATAATGTTTTAAAGCTTCTAAATAGCTCCAATAATGTTTTTAAAAATATAAACTTAAAATAGTATTATAAAGAATGATTATAGGTCGATTGTAGTATAAATTGAAAGTTTGAATATTGTATTATTAAAAGGAGAAAGGAGATTCGAAAAGGGTTCAAATAAGGCCTTCAAAAAAATAATTCGAAAGAAATCTCAAGAGATTTCGAAAAGTGATACTATTCGAAAATTGAAATGAAGAAATCGAAATAAAGAAATCGGAAAATCGAAAGGAAAAGGGATTTCGAAAGGTATTATAGTCTACAAACCATTAATAAAGATATTACAGAAAATTATAATATATTATATTGAAAAGAACAAAACAATTTATAATATTTAAAAAATATTTTTTATAACTGATATCTTATAACTTGAAAAGAATCAAAAGAAGATTGAAAACTATATTTATTTTGTTCCTGTATAGATTACTAGAAAAGAGACTAAATACATATTAAAGAAAGTAAAAAACTTGATTGTATTCTATAAAACGTTAAAGCTATTTAAGGTATTAGAAAGCTAATAAAAACCATACTAGAAGGGGCTGTAGTATTCACTCTAGTATCTTATATAAATAAATTCAAATGCTTAATTATCAAAAATCTAATATTATAAAATTCTAAAAGTTCTTTTATAAAACTTTATAATTTTTAATTGTTAATTGTTAATTGTTAATTTTTAATTTTTAATTTTTAATTTTTAATTTTTAATAAATATTAAAAATTATAGAATAACTATAATTGAGGTTTAGTCTAGCGTAACTACGTAATAAACGAACTAAATCTAATCTTAATTATTAAATTCTTATATAAGAACTAACTCTTATTTAATATACTAAAGATTTTTTTATAAAGAATCTCTAACTACTAGATTAATTCTAGATCT